CGACCATCACGGCTTTTTGCAACGGCATCAATCTACAAAGACAAGCCAGACAGATAGGGGTTAAGCATACAATTCAGTACATGAAGCTAGATCGTATCATAGATGTGTAGGTTACCTCATCGATAAAAATAATCGATGGTGATTCCTTTTTGGCCCTAGCAAATAGGTCACGTACTCGAGCTGCTCCCATGCCTACATATAGCTCAACAAATTCACTAGCAGAGCAACTTATGAATGGGACTTCTGCTTCTCCTGCTACGGCTTTTGCAAGAAGTGTCTTTCCAGTCCCTGGAAGACCCACCTGTAGATAAAGAATTACATTATGGTAACAAACACAATTGTCAAGCAGTAGTCTACATTACTAAAAGAATTTGCAGAACCAACCAATAAGACACCACGAGGAGGGCGAGCACCAAGACGGATATATCTTTCTGGGTTCCTTAAGAACTCCTGAACAAAAAATATGTATGGACCAGCTTATTTCCCTTCATTTGATTGCTGCAAGTACTACTATCGAATTGTAGGATCCATTACATTCAAAAAAAAAAATTGTAGGATCATACCACAATTTCTTCCAGCTCTTCTTTTGCCTCATCTACTCCAGCCACATCAGCAAATGTAACTATATCTGTACTTTCGGAAACTTTTGTGCCGCTGGAATTTGAATTCTTCCTATTCCTCAACTGACCGGCTGAATTCTGAGTTTGCATAAGAAATTAGATACATACAAATGAAATGCAGCTAAGTGAAGAGTATGCACTTGCCAATTGATTGAGGTCATGCATCAGTACCTGAGAAAAGCTTATTGGCAACCGCTGCAAAACTACTGCAATCAATACAACATAAATAAGAGCTACCTGCAAAAGGTAAGGGCAGTTAGAGTGAAAGGCACCAACTGAAGAGGGTGTGTATGTAAAGAATACAATCACATGTATATGCATATAGATAAATGAAAGCATGTATGAGAAAAAAACTATGTGCCCGTATAGATGGAATTTCAGTCCTGTCAAATTCCTATTTACAATCCTCAATTAGGATCCCATCTCCTCTACAAGGTTACACAAAACCTAATGCATTAATTTGTCGGTTCCAGATCTACTTTAACATATGCAGGTGTAAAGGGTTATAAATCATCACTTTATCTACAGTCCGAACACTGGATCATATCATATTGCTCAATCATTAGTTACAACAGTATGATCAACTAAACATGTTATCTCCTGAGTCTAGCAATAAAACAGAGCAGACCATATGGTCATGTTGCATCTGTGGAAAACACTTGGATTCAAGTCAGTACAAGTATAACATTATAGAGCAAGCATTTCAACAATTTCAATGCTTAGAACATCTTTGACTTTCCAATCTCTGTCATTTTACATGCTTAGATACAAATTTTAAAATTCCTAATCTGGTGTAATTGGTACTACTCCTAAATTAATTTCAAGCCACAAACTTTGCATTTGCATCAGAAATATGTTTCAGCATAAGTGCCTTACCAGGGCAGAATTGAGCATGCCGCCGGACCTCTTATCCGGTGACCCAAATTCAACCATGTTTTCCACCATCTTCTCGTATGGTGTCTTTATGTCCACTGGACGAGTCGTCGTGAATACAATTCTCCTTGAAGCTCCAGTATTATCAACGACAGCATCTGTTCCGCGCTGTGTTGGTGTCTGCACCACACGGACCTGGGACTCAACCTCTGGGCGGAGGCGGAACATGATGTGCACCCCGTCCACCTCAACCTTCTTCACCTGGTCCTTGTCTATGCTCGCCAGGAAGTCGCTGTATGGTACACTGACGTACGTCGTCTGCGGGCGGGGCTCTGAACCAGGCAACGCGATCTCCGGTCGAAGCATGCGCAGCGCAAATATGGCGAAGCCGAGCTGGAGCAGGAGGAAGCCCATCTCCCGCCCCTGCACTATGGGCTCCCATAGCCACCGCCCGACGCCTCCTCCCCCCTTAATCAGCCTCCGCCGCCACTTATTCTCGCCCCTCTTCGACGAGGGCGGCGGCGGCGTCGCGGCCGCGCTCGTGGTGCTTGTGCCGGTGCTATCGCCCCCCGACTCCGCAGCCGCGTCGCGGTCGCCATCCCCGGACGAGGACGACGGCTCGCCGTTGCCGGAGGCGCCGTCGCCGCCGCGCTCGACATTCGCGCGCGCCGCTGGCGGGCAGCGGCGCACGAGCGCGAGCCCGAGGCCCCGCGGCGGCACGGCGGATATCCGGATCGACGGTGCGCCTCTCCCGGCGGCGGCGGCGGGTCGCCGGGGTAAGGGGCGTAGGAGCGAGCGGGACGGGGATGCGATTGGGAACGAGGCGAGGGTTTCCGCGGCGGCGCAAGCCATACGGAGAGGAAGGCACGAACCCTTGACGTGCTAGCGTACGGGTTGAGCGAGAAGCAACGCCACGGAGCTCGCCCAACTCCGCCGCTGCTGCGCACGTGCGCGTGGAGGAATCGGTTCGCGGGAGGCGGGGTGAGGAGACGAGAGAGGAGAGGAAGATGAGGAAGAGAGGAAGGAAAGAAGCCGATACGAGACGAAGACGGATGGAGGGAAAGGGAAGGGGGTGGCCGTTTGCTGAGTATCACGCCGTCAAGCCCGTTAAGGTTGCTCCTCTGCCCAAGCCTACTCCCGCAAACAACGATTTCTTACCTCTAACTGACATATGGGACCCATACTTGTAACAAGGCCTAAGGCCCATCGTCAGTGACTCCTCCTTGATGCTTTCAGCTTGGGCGGGAGCCGGGCGGAGCTTATCCGTTTGGTTTGAGATATCGCACGGAGCTGCTGGGGACGGGCTATGGCCCACTGAAATGTCAGTGAGAGAAGGAGTGTCTGTCAGAATGTGGGGCACTCGAGATATTTTTTTTATTTTGATTGGGCACTCGAGATATTTGGCGCGTCGGATGGCGCAGGGCGTCGAGCTTATGATGTCCACAGAAACAATGGACGACGGCTGCGGAATTTGGGAGTATCTTCTCTAACGAACAAAAATATCGATTTATGAATTTATTTTGGCTGTGAATTGTTTAACTTAGTTGGCCTAGCCTACACCTCTCCTCTCTTGTCACGGTGGATCGGTGGGCCACTTTGTTGTTATAAAATATGGTTAATCTTGGAAATTTTATAGCAAATTTGTTTTATAGCATGGAAAATATATGAAACCAGTTTTAGATTTTTTTTTTCTAAAATCGTACTCTGTCTATCTGTTCCTATCTTGGAGTTATGTGAATCTTCTATGATCTCTTTTTCATGTTTATTGTGAAAGTACATCTAAGCCCCCTAATCTGTTTTGGCGGCTGAATGATAAAATGATTAAATGACTAATGAGTTTGACGGGCTTGGTTAGATTTCATATAAATGATTGTATGAAACTAACGTCATATCTAGAATACAAGAAAAGGCAAGCAAATTGGTTAATGAAAGGGGGAATAGAAATGGATATCATTCCGTCTCAATGAAAGCTTTTGCATGAATGAGAAGATATTGGCAGTTCATTGATAGTTATCAAGAATAGATCATTGAAGAAATGAAAAGGCAATGATCAAAGTACTAACATACAATATATAATGGATTTATCATGTCTCGGTATTGGTTTGCTTCTATGACAAAGGCACCATAGCGGTTAATCAAGGCCACTAGCTCGTCTAGTTACTATGCTATAATAATTTGTGATAGTTAGTGCTGTTGATAGGAGTACAATGAAGGGTCCTGTGTGGACCGGTGGATGATCCAATGTCACTATGCTGTGAAGACTTTAAGTTGGACATGCTTTGTTGGAACATACTTGTCTCATGGTGTCGATCATTTAGGTCATTGGACTCTCAAAAGTAATATTGTGCCAAATGATGAACGGTAAACAATCAATCATAGCTATTATTCGGGCTAAACGGTAAAATGACATTTTAAACAAGATAAAACGGTTGATTAAATGGAGAGAACATACCACCATGCAACGTTTAAACGGTGTGTAAACGAGCTAAATGACCATTTTAGATGAACACCGCTCAAAATGCATTTCTATGTACTTATGGTATCATCCAGGTACTCGAACTCTAAAAACGCCTTTTGGGGTACTTGAACTTGTCTTGGATGCCATTCAGGTCTATAACTAATTTGTCTTGGATGCCATTCAGGTCTATAACTATCAAAATATTATTTTTATTAAGTACTCAAATTACTTTGTCATCTAGGTCTAAACGGGCTCCAACCAACGCACATGTTGGTCTCTAGTGGTCCATCTATACGCTCTGCCTCTCTTCTAGTTTCATCTCCATGCTCTTCCCCTCTCTCCGCATTTCAATCTTGTGTGGCATACTGGCACTTCATCATAGTTGCCAACTAGCCATTCTCAATTCATGCCTCTATAATCCTCCACATCAAAGGCCATGATGTCATTAATAGTGGGCACAATAAGACCAAAGCTAGTGCTTATTAAGCGGAAGAGGTATAACAAATGATTGCTTTGCCGTTAAGTTCCCCGATAACTCAAGCGAGCCAAATTGGCTCGCCTCGCCCGACAAGCTCCTCATAGCTAACGTTGGTGAGGCCAAATGAACTCGCCTTTAACTAATCGCGCACGTAGTTGACTGAGTGTTTAAATCTCTAACAGATTTCCTCGTTTTCTGTGCTGGCAAGTATATTCCTTGCTATCTCCGGCTGGCTAATTTCTCTCGAGACTAGCCTAGCGTGGCAAGGTGAGGTACTGAGGCGAGGCGAGCAAAGAAAGCAAAACTATCCTTCGTCGAGGCAAGCCACCGATGCCCTGTTCGTTTGGCTGATAATACATAGCCGAAAGTACGACTGACTAATTTATTGTGAGAAAAAAATACTATTTATTAACTGAAAATGTCCTTACTCACCTGATTTATAAGCCGTCCTTTATAAGCCATCTGCGTTGATCACCAATGCTACTTGCCTCATCCATGTCCCACACACGTGACGAGAGACAGTCAGACAGCTCGAACCTCGAAAAGCAGGAGCCCAAAGCCGACTGGACACTCAACAGAGCCACAGAGGAAATGAACCCGATGGTCGTCGCCGCCCCCACGCCATCCCCATTCGTCGCTTCAACCCGCCGCTTCGCCCCTCGCCTCCGCTCCCTCCTCCCCGCCGCTGCCATGTCTTCCGCCCAAGCCCCAGCTCCGGCACTGGGGAAGAGGCGCAGGCGGCCCCGCTCCCGCACTCGACACTCGAGATCGCGGGGGCGCGCCGGGGCCTCCTCTCCGGCTTCGCCAGCCTCCGCGCCCCGTACCGTGCCTTCCCCGTACTCGCGTCGAACCGACACGTCGAGACCATCTTCGCTGCGTTGACGCGGTCACTCCCCGCCGTTAAGCTGCGGCGCGAGTGCCTCCGCGCCCCTGACGACGGAGTCATCGCGCTCGACTGGGTCTCAGGCGACGACCGCGCGCTTCCGATGGATGCTCCGGTGCTTATACTCTTGGTACGGTGCTCCTTACCCGCTCGCGTCGTTGCCCGTTGCAGTACTGACTGCACTGTACACGCAGGAAGCGTAGTGCGTGCTCTTTTAAGCGTCAATGATGTCTGTGATTAAGGCTTTGGTTTTCGTTGGAAACGTGGAATTGAGGTTATGAGATGCGAATGTCAACGGTACCTACAGCATGATGATGTGACGCAACTAAGATTTTACTGTCTATTTTGGTAATGCTAGTATATTCTAGTAGGGCTGCAAGCGATCTACAGCTCATTTCAGTTTGGGGAGCAAAAGGAGTTAGCAGGGAGTTTTAGATGATACCTCACCATTAGACAGCCCATGGCTTGTATGTAATTTGCTTAATTGATATAACTGTTGTCGGTGTCGTGGGCTCTTGCTGCACAAGTGCATCAAGCGAGCAACAAATAGAAGTGTTGCAGAGTTTTAGTGTCTGGGTTCTGGTACAGTTTGCATAGGTTTAGGCCGTTTAATGAGATAGGCTGCAGTACTGTAGTAGTATAATCTGGAACTGAAAATGTAATACTGTTATGAGTTTATGACTTAATAGGAGTTTGGTTCCAATTGCATAATCTGTTTACATTGTGTAGTCTCAGCATATTCAGATGATGAACCAACGTCCATGCCAAATGCTAATAGGATCAAGTCTCGAACATGTTTCAGCCCTTGTGTTCTTCAGCATGATGTAGAACGCACAAGTTTCAAGGATATGAGGATACTATTTCTCATAATCGTTTGGAATTGAGTTATTGTTGAAATTCTGTAAGAGCCCGGCAGGGTGGGGGGTTCTAGGCGGTGGCGGCTAGGATTGATGGCGGTGAGGGCGGCGGGCAGAGGGAGGGGGCGGCGGCACTAGGACAGGGAGAGAGAGAGAGAGAGTCACAGCAGGGAGGGAAGAGGAGAGAGGAAGGATAAGCCTGAGGCTGTTCTTTCTTGATTGCAATGATTACATAGCCCCTCTGCTTATAGTCCTGGATAGACTTGTCTCCTAAGTAACCTAATGAGGGAAGTCCTTATAGATATGGACTCCTCCCAATCTATCTAATCTCAACCGATCCTATTCCTATTCTCTTTCCTCTATTGGAGATCCTCCCGATATGGATAGTGGAGCAGCGGGAGACCGCCCTTGCTAGGCGCGCCTCCCCCCTTTGCCGCGCGCGCCCCTCTCCTCAGGTGGCGCGGCTGGCCTGGGCCCCTCCTGGGCCCTCCATCCGACGTATGTATTAGGATATGTATAATCCTGCACTAATCATAGATTGAGTGTAATCCCATAGATAGACTAGCTGCCATATATAGTCTAGGTTTCTTTCTATGTATAGCCTAGGATTGCTTCCTTGTACAGGGAATAGCTTTCCATATGTGTAATTTCCTTGTATGCATATTAGCTATATATGAAAGGCACCCCACCCACATTGAGTGTGTGGTGATTCCTCCTTTCTGCTCTATTCTACATGGTATCGCCTAACCGATCCTCCTTCCCTTCCCATCGCCCCCTCTGCATGTCCCCAACTCCTTCCCCATGACGATCGGATCTGCCACCAGCTCCTCCTCCTCCTCCAAAGACTACGACCACTGGGCTCCTCTCTCTGCCCTGCTGTTTTCGTTGCCCCCTATGCAACGATCAATGTCAAGAACCACATCCGGTGACTCTGAACCGACGAGGCCCAACTTCAACCAAATGGGAACCGTTCTTCACTTCTCTCTGCGGGAAATTCGGCCTTCTTTCCCACATCACGGAGGAAGCTCGCTCTCCCGACCTCGCTCGAACATCGCCGGCGCTTGCGTCCGCGCTTAGCTCCTTTGGCTCATTGGGCGGATGTCCTCGGCTTTGGCGACGGCCAGATCGAGGCCGCCACGTGCCCTCCGGCTCGCCATCATCAGCGCCTCTTGAGGCCAACAAGGCCCATGCGCCATCTTCACAGGTCACGAAGTTCTACTCCATGACCCAAGGCGACTCCCCATCAACGACTTCGCCCAAAAGATGAAGGCCACGCGACGACGCGCCGTGATGTCGGTCGTGTCATCACCGACTTCGAGCTCGTCCTCAACTTCCTGCAAGGCCTCAACCCCCCGCTTCGCGCCAAAGACTGCCGACAACATCGCTGACTTCGCGCCCTGTTCGGGACTTCGCCACCACGCGAGAAGCTCGTCCTCAAGGAGCTCCGCCGCCAACGAGGGCACTGCAGTGGCAGCCAGACGGCGTTCCCGCGCGTCTGCACTCCTCCGCCAGATCGTCCAGCGCCTCCGTGGCGGCTTCACCGGCTATGGTGGCGGCTCCAGCGAATGCGGGAAGAAGCGGCGGCAATGGCCACCGGAAGAAGAAGGGCAACAGGGCGGCGCCCAAAAATCTCTTTGATCGGCGGCTCGGTGGCTCTGCTACTCCGCCACAGGCTGTTCTGCGCAGATCAAGAGCCCATGGCGTCCACCGATGTGGGCGGCTCATGGCGTGCTCGGGCTCCTCCCGCCCGAGCTCACACGGCCTTTGCCCCCGCTTCGGTTCTCGGCGCCACGAACTCCTCTCTGCCTCCTCACCAGCAGCAGGGCGGCTGGGATCAGGCAGGCCTCATCGCTGCCCTGAACCAGATGTCGCTTCAGGGCTCCACCCCCTGGGTCTTCGACACCGTGCCACACGCCCACATGTCCTCCTCGGATGGTATACTCCGTCCCGCCTCCCTCCTCCTCCTCCTGGCATCACGGTTGGCGATGGCACTACCATTCCCATCACCTGTCATGGACCATCTCGATTACACTCCCCGCACTCTACCTTTCATCTTCATGATGTTCTGGTTGCCCCTGCTCTAGTACGCAACCTCCTTTCAGTTCGTCAATTCACCCGTGACAATGCTTGTTCCGTTGAATTTGACTCTTGTGGCTTTTCTGTCAAGGACCAAAGCAGACCAAGCGTGACTCTTATTTCACGCAATAGTGGTGGCGACCTCTATACCTTCCCCACCACTCCGTCCCACTTCCTGCAGCCTCGCCACCACGTCGTCCCCCGTGGCATCACCGCCTCGGCCACCTGGCCCATCCAAATTTCGCCACTCTACTTTAACATGTCGGCCATCTCCTACAATAAGCATTCGCCTTGCCTCGCCATGCATGTCAACTTGGCAAGCACGCATGACTCCCATTTAGCCATTCCACCTCTCGTAATGAGTGCCCCATTTGATTTACTACATTGTGATGTGTGGACATCTCCGTGCCTAGCAACTCCGGGTTTAAATATTATCTCGTCATCCTCGATGATTTCTCCCATTCTTCTTTGGACATTCCCATCAAGGCCACAAATCGAGGTGCACCGCATCTTGTCGAATTCTTTGTCTACGCTACAACACAATTCGGCACCACACCCAAATCCCTCCAAGCAGATAATGGCACCGAGTTCGTTAACCACGCCACCGCCACACTCCTCAGCAGCAAGGGCACTACCCTACGCCTCTCCCCGTCCCTATATCGTCCCATAAAAAATGGCAAGGCCGAACGCATACTCCGCACTATCAACAACACCATCCGCACCATGCTCCTCCATGCCTTCATGCCTCCTCCTTACTGGGCTGAGGCTCTCACCACAGCCACCACCCTCCTCAATCGGCGTCCCTCCTCCTCCATCCACCACCAAATACCTCATCAAATTCTCTATGGCACTCTCCCAGATTACTCCTCCCTCCGTGTCTTCGGGTGCCTTTGCTATCCAAACCTCACCGCCACCTCCCCCCACAAACTCGCTCCTCGCTCCGCCCGTGTGTTTTCCTCGGATACCCATCCTCTCACACAAGGCTACCGTTGTCTCGACATGAATACTCGCGGATAATCATCTCTCGCCATGTCATATTCGGCCGAGTCGGTGTTCCCATTCGCAGCAGCACCATCGGCGGCCTCCGTGCCGCCCTCACTTGAATTTCTGATGCAGGGACTTTCTTCCTCGACGACAACAGTGAGCACTCCTCCGCCGCTCCCTGAAACCAGCGAGGATCCAGCCCCTGCGCTCCTGGACCCAACATTATCCACCGGCCCCTCGTTTGCCTCTGGGCGGGCACCCACACTTTGCTCACTTCTGGCGGCGCAACATACCGCCACCGCTCCATACCGGGCGCCAAGCGGCGTTTGACATCGTCTTCACTCGCCGCGGCCGAGTTCTGCGCAGCCGAACGTGGCTCTGCGGTTGATGCACCAACCATCGAGGTCGTGGCCCCGAGGCGAGGTCGACCGTGGCTCCCCGGCGCCGGTTCTCGTGGGCTGCTGCACCGCCCGCCGCGCGATCGTCACCCTGCGGATGTCTTCATTGTTCCAAAGACCATCTCGCTCCGCCACTGCAGCGACCAATGACTGCTTTGCACCACCGACCCGACTTTGATGACCACGGTCCACAGGCCAGCTCCCTCCCTCAAGACCGGCCCAAATGATACGGCTTCACCACCTCCGTCGCCTCGCCGGTCCCGGCGAACTATCGCAGCGCCCTCGCCGACCCCAATTGGCGCGCTGCGATGGCCGATGAGTACAAGGCGCTGATCGACAATGGCACTTGGCGCCTTGTCCCTCGGCCCCCTGGTGCTAACATTGTTACTGGGAAGTGGCTGTTCAAGCACAAATTCCACTCCGACGGTTCCTCGCCTGCGGCACACAAGGCGCTATTGGTCGTCGCGGTTTCTCCCAGGAGGCCGGCGTCGACTACGACGAGACCTTCAGCCCGGTCGTCAAGCCGGCCACGATCCGCACCGTGCTCAGCATTGCTGCGTCCGGGATCGGCTATATCCGCCAACTCGACGTGAAGAATGCCTTCCTCCACGGCAACCTCGAGGAGACGGTCTACTGCGAGCAGCCCAAAGGCTTCGTCGACCCTGCTGCTCCTAATTCCGTTTGTCTGCTGCAGAAGTCCTTGTATGGACTTAAACAGCGCCGCGAGCTTGGAACCAGCGCTTCTCCGCCTTCATCAGCAGCCATCGGCTTCACCACATCCAAGTCGGATGCCTCCTGCTTCATCTACAAGGCTGGAGATGACATGGCTTATCTTCTCCTCACGTTGATGACATCATTGTCACCGCGTCGTCACCGGCTCTACTCACGCACGTCGCCTCCCGACTCTCTCTCTCGGAGTTCGCCATGACGGACCTTGGTGACCTCCAAAGACTTCCTCGGCATCTCGGTGATGCGGGGACAGCGATGGCTTGTTCCTATCCCAACGGCGATGACGCCGTCGAGATTCTTCAACGTCTTTGGCATGCATGTCCGAATGCCACCCGCAGCTACCCGGTGGATGCGGACCAAAGCTGTCCTCCACCGAGGCGCTCCCCTCACGCCAACCCCTCGAGTACTGAGGAGCTGGCGGGAGCTCTCCAAGACCTCACTCTGACGAGGCGGACACGGCCTATCTTTGTCGCAGCAGTCGCCTCTTCATGCATGACCCTCGTGAGCCGCATCTTACGGCGATCAAGCGCATCTTGCGCTATGTAAAGGGCTCGCTATCCGCAGGCCTTCACTTGAGCTCCGCCCAGTAGATCAGCTCACGACCTACTCGATGCCGACCGGGTGGCTGCCCCGATACACGTCGCTCTACCTCGAAGCCTGCGTCTACCTCGGCGACAACCTGGTCTCATGGTCTTCCAAGCGCCAGACGACGGCGTGTCGCGCTCGATCTGAAAGCCGAGTACCGTCGCGTGGGCCCATGCGGTTCTTGAAGTCTTTCTTGCTCGCGGCTCCTCCAGAGCTCCACATCTCCATTCCGCTAGCGACGGTTGTCTCTTCGTGACAATGTGAGCGCCGTCTACATGGTCGCCAACCCTGTCCACCACCACCGCCGCACGAAGCATATCGAGATTGACATCCACTTCCGTCCATGAGAAGGTCGCTCTGGGACAGTTCGAGGTTCTCCATGTTCCTTCACACACCAGGTTTGCGACATTATGACCAAGGGTCTGCCTGTCCAGCTCTTCATCGACTTCTCGGACCAGTGCATGCGTCCGTGATGCTTCCGCTACGACTGCGGGCGGGTATTAGGATATGTATAATCCTGCACTAATCATAGATTGAGTGTAATCCCATAGATAGACTAGCTGCCATATATAGTCTAGGTTTCTTTCTATGTATAGCCTAGGATTGCTTCCTTGTACAGGGAATAGCTTTCCATATGTGTAATTTCCTTGTATGCATATTAGCTATATATGAAAGGCACCCCACCCACATTGAGTGTGTGGTGATTCCCTCCTTTCCTGTCTATTCTACAGTATGACAAATTCACTATAAGATACAAATGGAATTAAATGACCCACAAGTAACTTTCACCTGAAGCAAAGCAAAAGGGTGTGGAGCCGAATAATTTTCAATTCCATTATCATTTTTGTTTTGCTTATAGCCTAATGTAAGTTTGATGTCTTTTCAGCCTGGTCTTACAGGTGGAAGTGATGATACATATGTAAGGCATATGCTTCTGAGAGCTAGAAGCAAGGGATGGCGTGTTGTGGTGATTAATAGCCGTGGATGTGCAGACAGTCCTGTTACTACACCCAAGGTACTTCAGATACTTTTTCCAATTTTTTATTAGCACTGTAAAGCTTATTATTTGAAGGGCGGGCCTGGTGCAAGCGGTAGAGTCTTACCGCCTGTGACCGGAAGGTCCCGGGTTCGAGTCGCGGTCTCCTCACATTGCACAGGCGAGGGTAAGGCTTGCCACTGACACCCTTTCCCAGACCCCGCACAGAGCGGGAGCTCTCTGCACTGGGTACGCCCTTTTACTGTAAAGCTTATTATTTATAGCTCCCATAGCTCATTAAAAGTTTCAAAACTATACAATGGACCGTATTTTCCCTTTTGATACTTGTCAGGGAGAAGTGCTAAGATCACATTTATATGGTTTGATTGATTGAGAAGTGCACTGCCCCCTTTTAAGTTAATTATCAGCAGTAGTAGACACACCCATTTTGTTGTGGTAAGCTGGACAGAACTGAACCTCTTACTAGCTTAGAGCATCTCCTGTGCTGCCTAAGTTGGCTCATCCCAGTTCATATGTGCAAACTGTCCAAATATATATATTTTTTCATGTTGGCATCTGGTGTGATAAATGCACTCTGTACATCATTGCTTCTGTGTACTCTTCGCTGATGACTGTTCCTACTCAGGGACGTTAGGGTATAGCCAGAAACTGACTAAAGGGCGAGTGAACTGGCTTTTACTGTAAAACTTGACATAATTGGAGTTTGGAACTGAAAGTAGGAAAAGTTTAAAGAACATTGAAGTGAATGATTAACAATAAATTGCATTGTTGCTCAACATTGAAAAGTTTTTTGGTTTTATTTTGTGGCTACTTGCTGCCCCAGTAAAATAGGCCACCTTGTGTCCTTACTCCTTAAACTGATTTGTCTCTCATAAATTTCTAAGCTTCACCCTGATGAGTACAGCATACCGATAAAGTGGCGATATGCATGTTGCCAATCAACATCTTTTACCATGGGGCCTTGAATCAAACTCAATGGATAAACCTTGATGAGGAAACCTAGGGATTAACAAAGTGTACATAATAAGTAAGGAGATAAAGATAACAAATGAAATCGAGGCCTGAAGCTGTAGCGGACCGTCTTCTTTTTAGGACATATGTTGACTTGCATCTTCTGTCATGTGCAGTTCTATTCTGCTTCATTTACAGGGGATCTCCGCCAAGTTATTGGTCATATTTTAGGACGTTATCCCCAGTCTAATGTCTATGCTGCCGGTTGGTCTGTTGGAGCGAATATTCTTGTGCGCTACCTTGGCGAGGTGAGTTCTGCACCCAGTGATAAGCAGTCTACAATAATTATTTTGTATTGTACTATTGTCACATTCATGTGATTGCAGTTCCGCTTGAAGTTTTGTACCTTATACACATCTTTCTGTGGTGAAAAATGATTAGTAGCTAACTCATATATGCACTAAGTTTCTTTGGGTGCAACAAGTGATCTGTCATACGCATCAACCCTCCCCCTCCTGTTGTTCCCTGGCGCTTCTTTGTATCTTCCTGCATAAAACTATGTATGGTTGATCATAGATATGTATTTCCTCCAGCAGCTCATAGCTTATCTTTATGTGTATATATTCTTTTTCAGGAAACAGATAAATGCCCTCTATCTGGTGCAGTCTCCTTGTGCAATCCTTTTAATTTGGTAATTGCAGATGAAGATTTCCACAAAGGATTTAACAACGTTTATGATAGAGCATTGGCTAGGGCTTTGACGACTATATTTAAGAAGTATGCCTTTTGTCTCCTCTCATCAAATCTTAGTGACATTTGTACTCGTTTATGATTTCTAACAGCTGATCTTTAGGGATTTGAACAAAATTTAGGCATGCTCTCCTTTTCGAAGGGCTGGAGGGTGAATATGATATTCCCAAGGCCGCAAATGCAAGAACTGTTAGAGATTTTGATGAGGGGCTAACCCGAGGTTTGCTGCAACTTCTAACCCAACTGTACCAGCTGTAGTTTCTATAGTTTTCCTGTTGGCACCCCCACATTCCAAAGGGTACTTCAATGGCTTGCAGTTTCGTTTGGTTTCAAGTCAGTGGATGATTATTACTCCAATTCAAGCAGCTCGGATTCTATCAAGAATGTTTGCATACCCTTACTGTGCATACAGGTCAAACTTTATCTGTTCTCTGTGCTTCACTAGAAGCTAAGACATTAGGAACAATAGATACAGTTTAAGAGCCTGACGTGTATTATTTCTTAGTTTTAGATCATGCGTTACTCAGTACTATGACTGAACTTTAACCCAAAGCTGTTAAACTACTTGAATTAAGAATATGGAAGTTCAATTAATTTATGTCCTTTTGGTTCTATCATTGGAATAAAACCTGGGGAAACATTTTAACACTAGCTTAGCCGCTTAGGTCTTGCATATTTAGAACCCTTACTTGAGAAAGTTGGTTCATTTGTGGTAAAGTTGTTTGTAAAACTCTACAAAGCAGCATGCATGGTTTTTTTTATTTTAAAAAAAGAGATTTAACAGTTTCAATGATTAGCGTGTTTATGTGCATATATTGTGAGGTCAAAGCATGTCTTTTATGTTATAACTTCAATCATAAATTCATAATTTAGTTATGTGCAGGCTGATAATGACCCAATTGCACCATCCAGGGGAATTCCTAGAGATGATATCAAGGTATCTGCTTTTGTTTTTCACCTAATAATGGCTCAGAGATGACATGTTGCGTAAGATCTACTCCCTCCGTTCCAAATTATAAGTTGTTTTGGCTTTTCTAGGGACATAACTTTTGCTATGTATCTAGACATAGCGTAGTATCTAGGTGCATAACAAAAGTTATGTATGTAGAAAAGTCAAAACAGCCTATAATTTGGAACATAGGGAGTACATATTTTGTTTCACTCTAATCGATGAGTTAGCCCCTTGAGTTAATATGAATCAACAAATTGTAGGCATACCTCAAACAGTGCAGCTTTATCGCCCATATATTTGTACCTTTTGTTTTGTTAATTACTTAATTGTGCTATTCCTGTGCTTTCTTTGGCTAAAGCGAGAATCTTAACTTGGAACTAGGAGTTCATTAATGACACGTACATTGATTACACATTAGATGATAGGCTTTGGTTTGGTGTCATGTTCTAAGTGTAGATTAACCATAGCAAAATAATCTCAGATGAAAAGTCAATATAAATAACATAGCCAATGTTGGGCCTAGGACAAGTCCATTTTGATCGTGGCAAGTTCAAATCATCCAAATTATACTTCTGTTAACTTATTTTTATGGGGGCAATAGTCATGTTGAAAGCAATAGAATCATTGGTCGCTACCTCCAGCATCCTAGGTGCTGGGGTCTGGGGTCTTTTTGAGTGTTTGTGTGTATTTGTACCTAGGCAGGATTTCTTTCCCCAGTCCTTTGTACTCTTGTTCTTTCTATCTTAATGAGATGACAATGCAGCTCTCCTGCGTCGTTCGAGAAAGAAAGCATTAGAAACATCAAACATGCTATCTGGTAATTTGAGCTTGAATAGAAGTAGAGCAACCTAAGGTCATGTTTGGATTCCGCCTGTGAGTGTCCTGCCAATGGGTTGGCGGGCCAAAACTTAAGTATGTGTGTTGCATGGGAAGCCAGGCGTGGGCATGCCAGTTATTGACCTCGATCCAAACAACCATGTTTGTGCTGGTCAATGGCTAAAAATTGGCTTGGCAAGCATTCGCATCCAAACGACCAAACATGGCCTAAATTTTGACTAATATCCAGAGACGCGTGCCAAAATTGGACAATTTTTCAAGCTGATAACTGTAAATGTCATGTCAATTAGTTTCTTGTTTGATTCTGCTTTGAACAAGAAGTCGACTAATAAGTCACGTTCCCTGTCGTTTTAGGCAAATAAGAACTGTCTACTTATAGTAACGCCACAGGGTGGTCATCTTGGATGGGTAGCAGGTGACGAAGCTCCATTCGGATGTCCTTGGACAGACCCAATAGTGATGGAATATCTGGAATATCTCGAAAATGAGAAGGACTCTAGTACAAAAAATAACATATCCTATGAGCAACAGGGTGTTTCAGAGGCATCAGTACCCCATCTAACTGTGCATGGCCAAAGATAGTAATATTTCCCTTCTCAGAGTTACATATGTTTTATGGAAATAGTTAGTAGTTCATTTATCTGTCTGGTCTGCTGCTGCGCTTGGTACATGGTTCTTCGTCTAGAGGTACGTTCCTGTAATTTAATTTTGGGCCTAAGTTTGTATTTTGATGTTCTTCCGTCAATACTTTATAACCTTAGCAGGGACATTGCTTGTGCAGGTCTAGTGGTCTACGCATGTGCGAGAAGATTTCTATGTGAAAGATGTCTGGTTCTGAGATTCTGAATAAAATATGTGTTGTCCAATTGTTCCTGCTAAGGGGTTTCATCCGGTGTTTGAAAGGGATTCTCCGTAAGGGCATGAGCTCTTCTGCAATGTGTGAATCTTAACGCAGAGTTGATGGCGATGGGCACAAACATCATGTAAATTTGCCAATGTCCTTCGGGGCAAAAAAAAAACGAGAATTGTGTCTTATTTGTTAGTCCACAGGATCACCGGTTCAGGTGAGTTATCACTCACCAGTCTTACCGAGCACCCACTAGTGTTGTCGAGCATCCACTAGCTAAGTCGACCACGAACAAGCATTGTTCGTCCCCACACACTATGGCTAGAGGTTGAAGAAGAGGAAGAACAAAGCATATACACACAGTACAAGACACCAGCGTTGGCTGAAGCTCTGTATGGGAGATGGTAAATCTGAACTTTTTTTACTGAGTTGTGGCAATTTATTTATACAACTTTATCCATCTAGTTCTAGTACAGTTGTCATGCTGCAACAGTGACTAGATAACACAGCAGGGCTGACTGTGTCGGCCTCTGTATGTGGCTATAGTGCTACAGGTGAGCCGTTTGACGCCTGCACCTGCAGCGGCTACAGTATCACAGCAAGGAGCCTTTTCGGCGTCGCCTTTCCCTGCTGTGTGTTCATATAAGGTAGCAGTAGATTATCTAAGAATTCTTCTCCTAATCCTACTGCTAACTCTTGTATCCCCTCCATGTCGATTTCGATCATCTCCTTCAGCTTCGTGAGTCGAAGACGTCCGAGCGGCTTGGTGAGGACGTACGCGAGTTGCCGACTAGTTTCGACGAACTCGATGACGATTTGCCCTCCATCGACATAGTCCCTGGGGAAATGGAATTTTACATCTATGTGTTTGCTCCGGTCGTGCAAAACCGGATTCTTCGCGAGGGCGATGGCGGGCTGGTTGTTCACCATCAGTACTGGTGGGTGAGCTTACACGCCGATCAACTCGCCTAGCAGCCGGCACAGCCACACAACTTGGCACGCCGTTGTGGCCGCTGCTACGTACTTTGCCTCGCACGTAGATAACGCCACCACCTTCTGTTTCAGCGACAACCATGAAATTGGGGCCGATCCGAGGAAGACGATCACGCAAAGGTGCTCATTCGTCCGTCGGTGTCCCCCGCCATGTCTGCATCGTTGAACACAGTGAGCTGCAGCCTATCCCCGCCGGTCTTTGGGAAGATGATCCCCTGATCTACCGCCCCCTTGACGTAGCGCAGTAGCCGCTTCACCGTAGCCCAGTGATCCTCTCTGGGATCCTCTATGAAGCGACTGACGTAGCCCACGGCGAACGTAATGTCCGATCTCTTGTGGACTAGGTAGTGCAGACCGTCGATGATGCTCCGGTAGAGTGTTGCATCCATCTTCGCCGCGGTGCTGGCCTTCGTCAGCTTCAGCCGCTCCTCCATCGGAGTCACGCATGGCTTGCACTCAGCCATGTCGCTCCTCTCCAACAGCTTTGAGGCATACGCGCTCTGACCGAGCGTGAGTTCCTTCTTCCCCTGTCTCACCTCGATGCCGATGTAGTAGGAGAGTGCGCCGAGATCGCTCATTTGAAAACGAGCCGCCATCTCGCGTTTGAAGCTGTTGATGTCCTCCGTGCGCGCGCCGGTGATGATCAAGTCGTCCACATACACGCCGACGATGAGCTCCTCCTTCCCCCGTCGCCACGCAGAGCGCGCGTGCTTTCGGTTGCGCATCAACAAACCCAAGCTCACCAGGCGTGGTGTCAAGCTTGGCGCTCCATGCTCGTGGGGCTGCCGCATCTCGTAGAGCACCTTGCGCGCGCGATGGAGCACCCCGTGCTCCTCTCCCTTGACGGCGAAACTCGGAGGATGCTCGACGAAGATCGCTCCGCTTAGCTCGCTGCTTGAGGAAGGTCGATTTAACGTCCAAGCGATGGACGTGCCAGTCCTTTGCTGCTGCGATCGCTAGTAGCAAACGGACAGATTCCATGCGCGCTACCGGCACAAAGACTTCCTCGAAGTCGATGCCCTCGCGCTGTACAAAGCCTCGAGCCATGAGGTGTGCCTTGTGCTTGACAACGGCGTCATGCTCGTCCCGCTTGACTTTGTACACCAACTTCAGGCTGATCGGACGGCATCCTGGAGGTGGATCGACGAGCTGCCAAGTCTCATTTTCCTCAATCGCCTTCATCTCCTCCAAAGATCGCACGTCGCCGGGCTTCCATCGTGCTCGCCAACATGAACGTGGGTGGTTCCTTCAGACCGATGAGCAAGCAGCTCTGCATCATTGAGCGACCTACCCGCCGCCAGCCCGAGGGCCCCTGTGGTCGCCGATGATGTCGTCCACCAGCGGAACCGCACTCTCCTCACCTTCGTGGTAGGCGCCCACGAACTCAAAGTGATGTCACTTAGAGGTGAGGCGAACTCGATCAGCGTTGATGAAGTTTCCTGTTCCACCAGAGTGCTCGGCACAATACCTGAAGTGCTCGGCACCCTAGGTGCAGTGCTTGGCACTACTTCTAACTTCTCGTCATAACTCCTGCAGTGCTCGGCACGACTACAGGAGTGCTCACCCTCAGTCTTGGAGTGGTTGGCACCACTGTAAGACCTCTTGGCTCTGCTACGGGAGTGCTCGACACCCGTTCTAGAGTGGTCGCCGCCACTGCAGAACCTCCTAGCACCACTCCTGGCGTGCTCGGCATCCCTCTAGGAGTGCTCGGCACTCCTCCTAGAGTGCTCGGCATCCCTCCCAAAGTGTTCGACACTGCCCTAGGAGTGCTTGGCTCTACCGTTGGAGTGCTCGGCATCTCTTCCCCAGCGTCTCCACCACCGTGGATGACTAGGTGCTCGACAATGAAGG